CGTGCAAGTATATGGCGACTAATCACTGTAACACCACAATGAAGCCAATTACAACGATGTTCTCCTCTTTTGTTGTGACTGTCAAGATGCTTTTTGAAGTAGTGAAGAAGTTTGAATTTGAATTTCTGGCTGCAGACTCCACAAATGAGCCCTCTACGACGAGTTGCTTTGCTGCTTGTTGGCACCGATTCTGGATCGCCGATTCTATCTCGAAACTGAGAAGCAATCGCGGCAAACTTGCTTGAAAACACGGTCGTAGGAGAAACTAGTTGAGAGGCTGTTGAATTCTGAGTCTGAAACCATTGTGATCCAGCTAGGCCAAATCTCCAAATTTCCACACTTTTCAAATCCGGAGAAGTCGGAATCATGTGCTTGAGTTTTTCTGGTATTTCGTCTCCAGGTAGCTCTGACCGAAAATCACAGCCAGATGGACCTCCGAGAAGCAAGTTTGATGCAGTTTCGTCTTTGTCAAGGCTTTGCTGTGCGCTTTTCCCCATTTCATACTTACCTTCGGAAATGTTTTGTAAGGAAAATGGGTCTGATCTGAACTGATCATCGGCTGATTTTTGCGAGGAAAATACACCCAGTCTGCAATCATCATCGTCTGAATTTTGTGGTGGGTGTAGAACAGATCTTGAATTCGTCTGAATGGGCAAAACAGATGGAAAATTTGCACCTGGAAGATCGATTCCGGATAATTTAACAGTATTGCTATGGTGTGGCTCTGTGGCGCAATTTTGAATCAGTTTGATGAGCTGTGGCAGTGCCGCGCTGTGAGAAGCAACAGCTTCACCATGGTCGCATTTCGAGCACACTTCTTTCGTAGTAGCGGTCGGTTGCAATCCTGTGAGCTGACCAGCTACAGAACCTTGCAAATCCATGAAATCCAGTTTCTTGTCACCGCACCTTGCACCTGGTCTCCAGCGTGGGCGTGAAATTAGACATGATTTTCCTTTCTCCCAGTTCACTGACAGTTCTGAAATTGAAGTTTCATCTCGTTTAGCCAGCCAGTCTTCAACGAATTGCGCCAATTGGTCACAGAAGGTTCCTTTAGGCACATTTGACAAATTCAAAGCATCAACTCCGTCTAAACCTAATTCCTGATGTAAGTTTGAAAAGTGACCAGAATCCGATTCTGTAATATTTTCACGTTTTTCTTTCGGTTTGCCTTCAGCAAAGTGTCCTAAC